TGTAAGTCTCATATGTATATCATACAATAGTGAATAAACAACCCTATTTATTGGTTGAATAATCACTCCAAAAGTCATCATATTAAGTATCATAATAAATAGATACATTCTTATCCAAAAAGGTTCATGAACCTAATGAATATGGATAGTTGTTCATGTACTTACTTTATGGACTATCCACTCATTCAATGGATTTATAACACTCCTCCTTGGATGTCCATAGATATTGTGCCTCGTAAAAACCTTACTAGAAAAAACCCTGTAGGAAAAAATTCTAGTGAAGGAAAAAGAGTACACATATCTTTTGATACGCATTATTTGTTGCTTCATTAAAAACCTTGCCAGGAAAACCCAGTGGGAAAAAACCTTGATCAAGGGAAAAAGAGTGCAACGCGTATTATACTCCCCCCTGATTAAAACATCACTTAATTTCTTGTGATGATGTCTCTAATCTTTGTACATGTAGTTGATATATTATTTTTCAAAGAAAAACCACACATTTTGTTGAATATGGTGTGTCATTTATCTCAACGAGACGAACTTTCGACTTACATCATGGAGGGATTTTATTTCTGCATAGCAACATTTACTTCATTGATCGCCAGGATATTATTGTGCTCCACATGCAAACACATAGAGTTCTTGAGATAGAGCTTTATGCAGATCAGATAAATATTCTACATCTGCGTAACCAATTAATTTTGTCTTGGATTCCTCAAAATAGAATAAACCCATAACTATGATCCTTCAGGGATATTCAATCATGTGCTTAACACCATTTCAATGTCCTTTTATCGGGGAGAAACTGAATCTTGCCAGTAAATTTACTGAAAAACAAATATTTGGTAATATTGTTAGTAAGATGCACTAGTGCCCTGATTACACCAAGATATGGAGTTTCATCACCAAGAAGCTCTTCATCCTTCTTTTGAGATCAAACTGAATCATCATTTATTTCAAGCGATCTCATAATCATTGGGGTACTCAATGAATATGATTTATCCATATAAAACGCATCAAAACATATTTGTGTATGTGCACAGATAGATAAATATTTTATTTATCAAATTATCGATCAGTAGGTCAAGACAAAATTTTGTCTTACCAAGACCTTTTTGTAAAATACAAGAACAATTAGGGTCATTTGTTTGTACCTTTTCCTTCTTGACTATTTCAATCCGTATAAGGATTCTTGAAGCTTTATTGAAAAAGTTTCTTTCAAACTCTCATATGTTTCAGACACCTCGATTGTTTCAAGGATTTTCATATAATCTTCGTTGTCTAGATAGACATTGCAATTATTCGTACATGCATTCAAGTTTTTCATATGTTGCCAGATCAAAACAAACATCATTGCATCCACCATACGAGAAAAACATTTCCAAAAATGTCAGGATTTTTGCGACATATCTTTATGCCCCAAGGCACAAACCTTATTTGATATCTTACGGTTATACAATCGCATAGTAATTTATTTATACCCCACTGAGATTATACCATAATTTATGGACTATCTGTCCAAAACGTCACTTTTGTAAGTGAAACAATACTTGAATCATGTATTTTACTTGGACAACCTTTTATCTGTCCACACTATATAACAAATTTGAATTCAAGATCCTCGTCACAATTTATATCATTGAACGCTACCTCATATCAAAGATACCGTCGACGGTTATTTGATATCGATTCCAACATGACATAACTTATTGAGATCTCTTCATTTTTCATCATTTTCAGGTACCTGAACCTTTTTCAAGGTTTTATGAAGTGTTATGTCAATGAGCTATTTTATAGCACTTGCCTCGTTATCATGACCATATTGATCATTTGCTCCTTCCTTCTTCAAGGAATTTTATATTTGGAACCGATTGATCTATTACACTTCCGGCGTATCATAGACTCAGTCCTTCAAGGTCTTCAAATTGGAGCATTTGCAGCTGAACTATATCATAGGGTCAGTACATTCATCTGGCAATTGATTTGCAACATTATGCAAATGAATTATCCTTTGAACTTTAAGTTCACATATATATTTAACGAGAATCTAGATAATTCATAATTAAGCTCACACATAATTTCAGCTGTCAAAATCATCTCTCCCCCTAATGTTAGAAAATCTAACATTTATCCCAACCTTATTTGGGAATTCATCTTTGTGCGTGGTGGAGCAATTAAAATCATAACCGCACATTTAACATTTTAGATGAAAATTATATAGTTCTTAACCCTGAACCAATTTTAATGGGGAGACCTTATTGGCTTGATGCATACATGTGTTGCTACATGTTAAATAAATTTATCTCATACCAAATTTTATTTTGGGAGTTCTGTTCTCATAACCATGATTTAGCTATAATTTGAGGCATACAGTTTCTGCTAAATCAACCAACATTATCTATATAATTTCATAATTTGGAACTGTGCTCTTAATTGAACAATTCGAGCAAACAACCTTACAAACACCAATTTGTAAGTTAACACTAAAGCACATGTGGTCATAGCATAAATGCATCTGTCACATAGTTACAAATGATCCACATGGCAGGTGAATGAGCCCATATCCACCTTTTTATATGTTTCAAAAACTTCAGGGGATTACAATCACAACTTTAACTGGTAGAATGATCATTTTATGAAGAGAACAAGCAACACATGAAAATTCTTGAAGAATCTTTTATTTCTTCATCATATAATCCACATGAATTATCAATTACATTTGCATCACATTTAAACCAGAATATTCAACCGGTCATGTCAACTAATTTTTATTTAGTACACTTATAATTTACTTTCGCATGTGATTTCATCATCATGCCCACGTTTGTGTGCAACAAACAAGAGGAAACAATGGGTAACCTTTTACATAAATATTTATAACCCCTTTATTATTCCTTTGATAATAACACAACTCGTTAGAGCTTGCTATTAATTTTGTGTACTATCACATATTGTATGACACAATCTCTATTGTGGGCATCTCATTTAAGGATAAATTATATTATTGTCATGGTCAAAACATTACAAGTAAGACATGTTTCTTGTTTTACTTTTGTTGTACCATAGGTACACAACTAATGACAAATTTGTATTGCCACACAATAATGACCACAACCCTTATAGGCAAGAACTATTTCTTTCTTTTACCTTTTCAGTAGTTCACAATAAACATATCATAATATTCATGACGTATAAATGTACATGACCATTGACCGTTCATGTCAAATAAAATTTATTTATTTCTCTCAAATCTCCCCTAGAGATGAGGTGTGGCATATATCATTTTTTCTCAAACCTTCCATAGAGGTGAGTTGTGGCATATATAAAATCATTAATGATTTTATCACATCTGGACCCATTCTCTTATAGAATGATTGAGCATTCACGATACTCATCACAAGTCACATTCTCTTCAAGGAATGGACTAATCATTTATATGTACTTCAATAATTTATATTATAAGTACATTGTCATGTTTTAAAATTCATCATATTTCCATGACACACCTCAACATCACTTTGAAAGACCAAGTGTACCATCACTTTATCTTCTTGTCTCATGATAGAGGATTTATAAACTTGTTAAATTATTGGGTTGACAACATTCACAAGTCTAATGACCTTTCGTATCATTTTGATGATAAAAATTGCCTTCACATTTTTAAGGTCTATTTGAAGAACTCATAGTGTTCTTCCTTTTATCATTACCACAATGATGATAATTATGATTATGTCCCTCCATGCCCATATTCATATCAATTAATTATTTGTCATCTTTCAGACTAATCATTCACTGCTACCACATTCATATGATTGAATGAAGCAAGTCAACATCAGATTTCAAAGTTATCATATGTTGCTACCACATTCTTTTCAAGGAATGGAGCAAATTCAATAGGAAAAATTTCAAGTCTTTTCATCAAAAATATATTATTTTTCTTAGTCATCATTTTATCATCGCTATGGTGCATTGGCTTAAACTCAATGTCTTACCCATATGAGGCGTGTTACGCCATAATTCTATAGGACTTGAACCCAATCATGGTGCATCAAAACTCAAATTGATGTCTTACCCTTTTGGTGCGATAGAACTTGAATCTATCGTCTTATCCTCAAATATTTTTCATTATGGTGCATCCGGACTTTAACCTGATGTCTTACCATTTTGGTGCGATGAAACTTGATTCCATCATCTTACCCTTAACCAACGGTATAATAAACTGAAGTACAACATGATTTATTCTTTGAGTCTTTCAAAACAATCAAAATAATATTCAAACTCATACTATTAAATTTTATACCTTCTTCCATTTAAGAAGTTTTGTATAGCATGTCATATTCAACCAATAGTAGTATATGTCTTCGGTTCTTGATAATTGTTAGTGACTGAATACTATTTTATTCTAAATCATAAAATATTTTAGAAAATACATACCTGATTTTATGCATATAATACTTTGATATTCATAACGAGATCAACCAAAATATGAGCTAAAGAAAAACAAGAACTCACTCTCAATTAGATAGAGACTCGTGCGGATAACGTGTTATAAAATCAAGTGTATAAGAATATAATCATAAAGAGAAGTAGATAGAAAAAGAGGAATTTTCTTCTTATTCAAGTGTATGTAAGTCTCATATGTATATCATACAATAGTGAATGAACAACCCTATTTATAGGTTGAATAATCACTCCAAAAGTCACCATATTAAGTATGATAATAAGTAGATACATTTTTATCCAAAAAGATTCATGAATCTAGTAAATATGGATAGTTGTTCATGTACTTACTTTATGGACTATCCACTCATTCAATGAATTTATAAAAGTAAGTACTTTTATAAACATTAAAAGAAATTTTGACTTTGACCAACCATATTTATGAGTACTTAGACTATTTATTCTTGTTTCATAAATGTTTGTCCAAAAAATTCAATGATTCATTTCGAAGACCCTATAAATCCAAGATTGGACAAGTTTTCTTCTACATATATTTCTTCGTTGAGAATGAACTTTATTTGTTCATCACCTTTTTATTTTCTCTCTTGTTTCATTCTTCTCTGGTTTATGACGTCTCAAAATAATGCAAGTGTTGGGTCAACTTCTGGTAAGAGATCGGAAGATCGATTTTTCAACATTTGTATGAACAAATAATTGAGAACTTGAAGAGTGAGTTTATTGAATAAATATTTTTTTGGATCTTTTTTTATCCTTTTATATTTTCTGAACTTTAGATCATTGATGATGTTCTTTAGGATGTCTAGCATATGCTTTTGTGCGTCATACTACTAAAAATGAGAATTGATTTGTCAAAATTATTTTTGAGCATCGTTCACAATTATTATTTTTGATAGTTGAAATCTATGAATTTAAGATATGTGACTTAACTTATGTTGTTAAATTTTTTTAATGTAATTGATTTTCTTCATTGTAACATTATTTTGTTTTTTTATTAGGGTATTTAGCCAAAAGCCAAATCCAGAAAATGATGTGATAGAGCAATTGAGTGAGAACCTAGGGCTTGAGACAACACAAATAGATATTTGGTTTTATAACAAAGGACATCACATCAAGGTTTTTATTATAAAATTTGTATGGTCACTTGAAATTTATCATATATACAGTGTATATATAAATGTTAAATGTTCCTTTGATAGTATGTTGAAATTGTAAACTTTTACGGACAAATGGAAGTTTTTAGAAAACAACAAAAGGTTTTGAAATGCTAATTGATTGTGGATTTAATATATGTGTGTGACACTTCAAGTTTATAATTTTTTATTAGTTAAATTCATATCTCAATATATTTCAGTTACTGATTTGTTTATTTCGATTTTGATCCTTATGTTATTTGGCTAAGCACATTAAGCCTTCAATTTTAAGTTAAATGTTTGATTTTCTCCTTTAAGCTGATGGATGTTAAATAGTTAACGTAATCCATGTTCAAAACATATTTAACTTAATTGAAGGTTTAATATGCTTAGTTAAATAATCCAAGAACCAAAATCATAATAATAAAAGAATAATTCAGGGATCAAAAATGTTATTTTCCCTATAGTATAATTAGTTTCTAATATACGGTTGATTAACACAAAATATTATGTTATGTCTAATGTTTAGAATAACTCAGAAAATTTTAGATAGGGTCTAATGTTTTTCAATAGATTTTAAGTTTGCTAGCTGTCAAATAAAATCTTTAGACTATGGTCAAAATAATTCTATAAGCTATTAGCACAGTAAGAAGAGGACCACTTACTAGAGAGATGTCTCAAAAGGAGGCGATTGATGAATTATTTTACTAAACTACTTCCACTACTGTTATCACAATAATAATGATCTAGTCACAGTTTTATTTTTTAAAATTATATCTTTCATTGTTAACATATATATTGTAATTAAATTTTGATATTGAACTATACTAATTTCAGGCCCAACAAATCATGGAAGAAGAAAGTAAGATTGAGCATTTGAAAAACAAAATAATGTATTCAGAGAATTTTCAAATGTGTTTTGATTTAAAGGAACAATTTTGTGCTGCTAGCAACAATCCTGAGCAACAACTAGCTATCATACAGGATTTGCTAAATGAATATTCTAAATTTGGAGAAGATGTTAGTTGGAAGAATGGATTGAGTGACCTTATAGTAAATTATTACAACAATCTGTTCAAGACACAATAGGGTTCATCTAGTGTCATTATTGACATTGTTGATAGGAATGTTTCTGATGAAATTAATGAGGATTTGAAGCGCCTTGCTGTAGTTAAAGAGATCAAACATGCTGTTTGTAGGATGCACCCGGATAAAGTTCTCGGACCTGATTTGTGGAGTACGGTGGGACATGATGTCTCTAAGGCCATTATGGAATGTTTGAATAACAGCTCACCTGCGCCAGGAAGTAACAATACTAAAATTGTGTTAATCCCAAAAAAGAAACAACCTGAATTTGTTTCAGATTTACGGTCTATCTCCCTATGCAATTTTGTTGAGAGAATCACTTGTAAAGTCCTTGCGAACAGAATGAAACGATGTATGAATCTAATAATATCTTAAGCCCAAAGTGCATTCATTCCAGGTATATACATTACAGATAATGTAATGATTTCCTTTGAAGCTATGCATTATCTAAAGGGGAAGACACAAGGCAAAGTGGGTTATGCAGCATTTATAACAAATATGAGTAAAGCTTATGATCGCGTTGAATGGGATTTTCTGCGAGCAATGATGATAAAGATGGAATTTTATTTGGAGTGGGTGAATGAATTTATGCAGATGGTAACGACAGTTACTTATAAATTAAGTCATGATGGCAAGCAGTTTGGATATATTTCTCCAAGGACAAGTTTGAGGCAAGGTGATTCCATATAACCTTATATATTTTTTTATAGTTGTGGAGGGTTTATCAGCGTTGTTGAAGCGAATGTCGATTCAGACCTGAATTCATGGTGTCAAAATTTGCAATAAAGCACCATCTATTTCACACCTATTTTTTGCGGATGAAGCTTTATTTTTTTAAAACAACAAAGGATAAGGCAGAAACTATCAAGCTATGTTTGGAGATTCATCAGGCGGCCTCTGGTCAACAGGTAAATTTCAAAAATCTGATATTTTCTTCAGTCCTAATACAAATGAAAGTGTGAAAAAAGAAATTGTGGATATTCTTCATGTCAAGGAGGTGAATGCTCCTGGAAATTATCTTGGATTGCCTGCAGTAGTAGGAAGAAGCAAAAAATTTGTCTTTGCTTATACTCATGATAGAGTAATTGCAAAGATAAACAATTAGAAGTGTACTAGTTTCTCTCGAGCAAGGCGAGAAGTATTGCTCAAAACAGTGGTTCAATCAATTCCAACTTATCTAATGAATATGTTTTTACTTCCCCGTAATATATATGAACCTGTTGAGCGAGCCATAAATGGATTTTTGTGAAAATTGGAAACGAGGAAAAATCGAGGAATAAGGTGGATGTCTTGGCAGAAAGTTTGTGTGCAAAAAGAGGATGGAGGTCTGGGCTTTCGGGAGCTCCATCATTTTAACATTACCATGCTTGCAAAAACAGGGTGGAATATGTTAACTAGGCCTGAGGCTCTTGTGAGTAAGCTTTTCAAGATCGATACTATCAGAAATCTGATTTTCTCCAAGCGGAACTAGGCTCAAATCCTACCTTTGTATGGCTAGATTTATGTGCAGGAAAGCATATTCTGAAACAAGGATGTCTCCGACGTATTGGGGATGGAAAAACAACAAGAGTTTATGATGACCCATGGCTCCTTAAAAAGAATTCAAGTTATGTTGAAAGCTCTAAATTTCTTGGAAGAGATAGTTTGCTTGTGGCAGATCTTATGAAAAAAAGGTGCGAATGAATAGGACTTGGATTTGTTACATGCTCTCTATAATGAAGTTGATATGGAGGGATGCTAGACAAATTCTGTTGAATATAAGGCCTCGCAAAGATACTAGGATGTGGAAAGGACAACAAAGGATTGTACTCTATGAAGAGTAGGTATCGTCTCCTTTATAATCAACACATAGCACCCAACTGCAGGATGAAAAACTTTGGAAATTCATCTGGAGTATATCATTGCCGCCTAAGGTGCTTATCTGGAGAGCTTTGAGAAATATTTTACCTACGTGTGAGAGCCTTTATAAGAAAAAATGTGTAGCTAGTCCAATTTGACCCTGATGTTTGCAAGCGTCAAAAATTGTGAAACATTGCTTGGTAGGTTGTCAATTTGTAAAACAATGTTGGATTCGATCAAAGTTTGGTTGGCAGGATGTACTAGGAGACTTTGTGGCATGGTTTGAAGAGCAAAGAAAGAGCAACGCAAAAATGAAAATGGAGGAAGTAGTCATGATTTTGTGGAGCTTATGGGAAGCCAGAAATAATTTGTGTTGGAATACTAAACAAAGTGTACCCACTGCCACTTTGTACCGTGTGAAGAAGGAGTTGGAGGAATGGAAGAGCGCCAATTCGGGAGCCGAGATGACTGTTGTTGCTACAATAATGGGTGCTAAACAGGAGCAACCTTTGCTTGACACAATTAAATGTAATCACTACAACAAATATGATATATAGCTACGAAATTATTAGCTAAGACATCGAATTCGTCACTAATTATTCGCTTTTAGCGACTAAATTTACTTTTCGTTCTCAAATATATGACACATACTTTTAGTGACAAAACATAAGAATTCGCAGCAAAGTTTTGTCCACTAAAGTTTCCCACCAAAAAATTATTTGGCGCCATTTTGTTAACTAGTGTTATTCACGAATTTAAAGTTATCGGTGACACATTATTTCGTCATTAATAGTGTATGCAATTTATGACAAACTACGATATCAAATTCGTCACTAATTATTCGTTTTTAGTGACAAAATTTACTTTTTGTGCTTAAATATATGAGACACATTCTTTTAGTGACGAAACATAAAAATTCGTAGCAAAATTTTGTCCACTAAAGTTTTCCACCAAAAAATTAATTGACGTCATTTGTTAAATAGTGTTCGTCACGAAATTAAAGTTATCAGTGACAAATTATTTCATCACTAATAATGTATCTAATTCATGAAAAAATATTTTCTGTTTTATAATTTATTAAATTTTGGACACAAAAGAATTTCATCTAAAAAAATATGTTGTTACAGTATCGATAAATTAGAGTTCAAAGTTAAATATTATAAATTTTAGCTAAGAAAATTTATATTTAATTATGACATTTATTTCGTCGCTAATAATAAATTGGTGACAAATATTTAATTGTCTCCAATCAACCTATGATTTAGTAACAACGAAAGATTGTCACAAAATATATAAGATGTTAAATAGCGACGACATAAAATTTGTAGTGAATTATTTAACTATTTGCTACGAAAAAAATCATAGCTAAATGCAATTTTTTTTTACAATTGTTCATAATTACAAGTGACGACATACAAAAAGAATAATGCAAGTGCTTCATAAGAAGTAGACAGAGTCCATTCTTTAATTGGCAAGTGAAAATATTAAAACCAATGAATTCGGTCAATTTTTTAAAAACGAAAAAGTTAAATACATCAATTTTCTTAAATTACGCAATTATATAATGCATCATTTGAAAAATACAATCCGGGTTATAGGTATTCTGAGTGGGCACGGATTTAATTATGTAATTTATTTCGTCACTAATAATATAAATAATTGGTGATAAATATTTAATTGTCTCTAAACAATCTGTGATTTAGTGACAACAAAAAAAATTGTCACAAAATATGTAAGTTGTTAAATAGCGACGACTTAAAATTTGTAGTGAATAATTAAACTATTTGCTACGGAAAAAATTCATAACTAAATGCAATTGTTTTTACAATTGTTCATAATTACACATGACGACTTACAAAAAGAATAATACAAGTACTTCATAAGAAGTAGACAGAGTTCATTCGTTAATTGGCAAGTGAAAATATTAAAAACAACGAATTCGGTTGATTTTGTAAAAACGAAAAAGTTAAATATATCAATTTTCTTAAATAACTCAATTATAAAATGCATCATTTGAAAAATACAATCCGTGTTATAGGTATTGTGAGTGGGCACGGTTCTACAACTAGATCGCTAATATTTATTTATTTAGCACTTTTATTTTTTATTTGATACACTTTCATTGATAAGCACGATAAAAAAAAATTGTCAAGTCTTTGTGCTAAGTTTTGTGCATGTTATTGATTTGTGATTAGTAAACTACATAGACTAAGTCAATCTATTTGCTTTTG